CTGGGGAATTCTGGGAGTTGAATGTCACGCATCTTAAAGTGGCCAAGTTTGGACAACACTGCCCTAATGCATTCCAGGTTCCATCAAACACAAACTGCTGTTTTGAATCAGTTGACTCATTCACACTGCATTCAACTATGTACATAAGTAAATGTATGTATGTATGTATGTATGTGTATCATTTTGATTTATAAGAACACCCTAACTCAAAAAGCTAACACTGGATGGCGTGTAATTAAAAACAGTGCAATTCCTAGAAACAACCACCATTACCACCACTACAACAAAACCCCCGAAAGATATCATGTCACAGGGGGAAACACATATCACATATCACAAATAAAACAAACTACACATTCATGAGCTCTAGCAAGATGAAACGTGTAGGACATTCCTGGCAAGAGATTAAGGTGGTTCTTGTGGGTCTATTCCAGGTTGCCCAAAATATAGCAAAAGTTTGCATATGCTGGGAGGCCGTTGAGAAGGCAGCTTTCATCAACCATGGAACATTCCTTGCAGTATACTCAGTTGGTTCCTGTGCTTCCGTTCTAGGTCGCCTACTTCATCCTGAGTGCCTTGAGTCTGAACGTCTGTGTGTTAGCCATGGCTTTTGCTGCCTATTGCTATTCTCAGATCATCCAGTTCACCTGTGAACCCATCTCTGAATCAGTTTGCCACTGCAAACTAGACACAACGGATCCCCTCAGCAGAACCTTCACATACCAGAGTGACTGCAGCTTCATCACCCAGACCTTCTACCTTTTCTTGCTGGTCCAGCTCATCCTTAACCTCCTTGCGGCCATAATGGGATTTGCGGCATGTTTTGTGATGTGGAAAGATAGATATCAAGTATTTTATGTAGGTACCCGGATGCAGTCACGAACAACCCCAGGAGGCCAACAACAGAAAGTATAAGGAAAGAGTAGAAGGGTCTCAAGAAAAGCCACAAAATATGCCTTTCTCCAAAAGGGGTGACTCTTTTTAAAACAGGAGAGGAAGAGAGACAAGAAACATCTGGATATATGTGTTCATATATATCAAGAGAACTATATTATGATGCATTTCTATGAAAATCGTTGCCAAACCTTCTTGCCACAGACCCCCAATGTGCCACAGAATTAAGCATCCTGCAATTTTGGTGCTAGAGCAGGACTGTGAGCATTCCCTGGAAGTGCATTGGGAAGACATTGAAAAGGAGATGTCACCTCTCAGCATTCTCTTGCACATTCCCACTTCTTGCATTTTGGGGTAGCTAGTGTGCCTAAATTCCAATTTAAGATACAGTTAGAACCAGATTAGGGTGGTCATGATTTAGTCCAATGCATTTCCTTCTAGGGAAGAGCAGTAGATCACAGAGGTAAATGTGGCCCGCACTACACTAAATGAAATGGAATATAATATGGGGACCAAAGGCAAGTAGATGCAGAAAAAAAATTAAGGCCCCGTGTTTCTAGAAATCCTTTCCTCTCTAATATACTTTGTGTGAATACACATGTGCACACACAACCACACATGATTTTAGATTCATAAGACTGCAAAGAAAACACCCCAGTTTTCTTAACAGGTTGGTTGTTTGGTTTTCTTGCATGGGTTGTTTTGAATAACATGCATATGTTGCTGAGAGCAAATTTCATGATTAGCTGCCAGGGCTTTGCAAGCTTCAGACCTCACATGTGCAGGGCATCTCTTTTCTGTTCATTACAGCAGCCCAATTTTTTTCAGGCTTCTGTGCAAGTCTGAAAAAAAGAAGATGCTGCTTTAAAGAGTTGCATTAAGGGTGGACTTTTTGAAGCAGCTGCATCTTCTTTTCAGGCAGAGGCTTAAAACATGTCAGAGAGTGTTCATGTGGGTTCTGGAGTGCTTCTTCTGAATCATTCTTGAAGTGTGTGCAGTCCTGTTATATCCAATAATAGACATGCCATCCTGATGTGTTTGACTACTATTGTACATAGCCACACCATCTGCTCCTCCACCCAGGAGGAGATTATATTCTGCTATTGCTAGTCATATAATCCAGCTCTGTCATTTGTAATTAATAATAACACTGACCTAAAATAAGGACACACAAGGAGCTCTTTTAAATCAGATCATCTTTCCTAGTCCAACATCCCAATAATGGTCAACCAGATATCCTGAAGAGGTTTACAAGCAGGACATGAAGGCAACAGTCATCTCCTTTGGCTGATGTTCACCGACAGCCAGCGTTCAGAGGCCTCCCATTCTGAATCTGGCATATAATCTTCATATCTAGCAATCACTGACAGTTTTATCTGCCAGCATCTCTCCTTAAAGACTTAGCCTAATACCTAATATAATTTGAGGTACATATTGAAATCTTGTTCTCTAGTTTCAATCTCTGATAACTGAAGTCCAGGCAATCACCCCAGATTCTCCTGTTATGCGAGAGGACAGAGTTGCTCTGTCCCTTTGTCCATACCATAGATAATTTTATGAAATAGCATGTTGCCTCATTTGCTTGTCTTCCTTCTATGCTACCAAGACCTCCTAATTTCTCTTTATAAGCCTTTCCAGCTTCACACACATCATCAGTAGAGCTCTCTGGCCAGATATGCAACACAGCACAACAGTTGAGGGTTCATAAGCTTAGCTGGTGAGGGAGCAGGCATCTTCCCTGGATGCACACCTCCATGTTATCTAAGGCAAGCAAAGAGATAAATCCAAAAGCATTGTCTCTCCTCCTCCTCCTAGTTAACAACTTTGTGCACTCTCTTCCTGAAAATTTCCTCCACTGTCACACCAAGACATCTTAAAACTTTGTATCAGTTCGTATTACATCACAGGATGAAAGGCTACAGAAAACAAGGAGAGGCATCTGTCATGGGGGCTCAAATGATAAAAGGAGGGCTGTCCATTCTGATGCATTCTCATCTCCAAGGTTGTGTCTTGAATTTACTTTGAGGAAAATTCACATTAAACTTTTTACCAACTTTGTACCTTTCAACACTGTCCCCTGAAATGTTTGCCTCACTTTGGGATAACTGTGTTGTGACAAGGGAGCCCAAGGCTCATGTTTTTGACTTTCTCCACTGCAGAAGCCATAAACGTCCTCAGCATCTAAATCTGCTTAATCCCAAATTGCACTCAGTGAGACTTAACACTGTGATCTTAGTCCCATTTGACTGGAAACAAGTCCCACTCTTGATGTCCATCCTGAAGAATGATAATTAGGTTTGCAGGCTGCCTTCCTACCCATTTCTAAAGAAGTTCTCTTAACTGTGTTGTGGATCCAGCTGAGAGGCCTCATTGTTGACTTCCATGGTAAACTTTTCCATCATGAGGTGTGGCCTTCAAGCTAAGAAGGGTGTAACTGAAACTTGGGACAGTGCAGACAAATACCAGTTTTCGTAGCTGGATATGGAATAGAAAAGATGACAAAAGATGTACCTCAGGAGAACATGAAACGAGCTGGACTCAGGCAACAATGCTCTCAAAAATGCATCAAGAGTCACACAACCTGTTTTGGGGGTCAGTGCCCCACCATGCCCCATCAGCTTTTCTGAACAGGGGAATCCAAAGAAGAACTTCACTGTCAGATAACAGGCCCCAAATCTTCCCCACAAGCCTAAGCCATAAAACCAAACAAACATAATGTTCTGTGCTGCGGGATCTTCCTGTCGGTGTGACAGCTGAGGGAGGCAGCAGCCTCGCCCTAGCGGCATTTGCCAGAGATCACCACCCTTTTGGACTCTGCCTTCACATGATCGCCATTGGCAGCCTGCCCGCTCTGCGTGGGAAGCTCTTTGGAGCTCTGCTTGAATAGCTGAGTGGCAGTCAAACACCGCGTGTGCCAGCCTTGCTTCTCTCCAACATATGAACGCTGTCGATCTTTCCTTGGAGTGGCTGGAGAGGATATTTACCCATTTGCTTAGAAAAGCTTCGTGCTTTTTGTTCTATATTTACAACCAGGCTGTCAGCTTCACCCCTTTCCCTTGCAGCGCCGCCATTCTCAGTCCTGTCTACATGCTTCTGTTCGGAATGTGTTTTTAAATACTAGTAAGAGGGTGGGAATGGAGGGGGGTGGAAGGGGGTCCGCTGAGGAACAACCGTTAAAGGCTGCTCAAATGTAAAAATGCCTTTCCAAACGCTCTGTTTATGCTTGTGGCTTTTTAATTGGTTATAATGTTCATTCTGTGTGTGCATACAATATGCAACTGGCCAAACACTCTCTTCCTTCTCTCTCTCTCTCCCTCTCCTTCCCTCCCTCCCTCCCTC